GAGAGAGAGAAAAAAAAAAAACAAAAAAAAAAACGGCCTCACTAATCTTCGCACATCAAACTTCTTTGACGAGACGCTCTGCAACGACTTTACATCTCTTATAGAGAACCCTTAGCCGGTCGTTGATGTGGAGTCCTTTCTGGCAATGCTGACAATTGATGACCTCTGCACGATGCTCTGCGTTTGTTACGACCCTCGACATCATCTCTTTTGCGAAAAAAAAAAGGTGGGATATGCAGTCCGCCACAAGCCTTGCCATTTGTCGTTTATTAGCACTTGCCATGAACTGTTCAAATATTTCCGTGGTCATAGGCACTGCGAACTCTGCATTCTTGTCGACGGTGCTTTGCTGGCGAGGGCGCAAGGAAAATTGTGTCGAATTTCATGACATCGAAAGGTGTTGATATCTTTGCAGTCTACCAACAAGTGTTCCGGTGCCTCACAGACACTTCGACCTGCGTCGTTGTTGCACATCCGCATAGTGAGATCGACCCCCCTGCTAGCGTTCGTGGCTTGCTTATTGTGCGCCTCGTTGGTTTCTACGGGGTTCGGCGTTACAGACAACTGTCCGGATGCCACGCGACCTCTGGTGTGCTGAAGAGAACATACAATATCGGCGCAGCTGTTCAGCAGAGTCCGTACGTTCCCATTAAGGCCATCGCATCCCGTATGTGCGCCGTCGGTCTGCGGCCGATGGTTGAGAGTGTAGTGCTCTACGGTCTCCGTGCAATGACGGATGCAGTCCTCGACAAAAGACAAAAGATCTACAAGACTTTTCAACCACGCTGTCAGCGGACCTCTGTCCAGTTCCTGACTATCGTAAGACCCCCACCCTACCCTGACCACACATTGGTCAGCAGAGGAACAACATGTGACATCTCATTCACAAGCGTTTTGTGCTGTGCCACGGAATGAATTGTCGATGAGACTAAGCAGATTTTTTCGATAGCATTTGAGATTCGCAACCATACTCTAGTAATCCTCTAACGTGCAATTTTTTGAGTCCGCCATTTTTTTAAATTGTTCGGTCATGCCCTCCCTCAGATCCGTCACAAGAGACTTCGGATCGGGCAGCAACAGCCAGAATATGCTATACTGCATACTTTCCGCAGTTTCTGTCATTTCCGCGAGTGCAAGTTCCACACGACCTGTCTCATCGCGCGCCTGGGTGACCAATTGTTTCTGCTCGATCAGTTCAGCTGTCAGTTTTTCTATAACTTATTGCTGCTCTTCTACTATCTCAGCCTTACTCTCATCGATTAAAGCCTGTGTTTCATCTTTGCCTCCCCACGGTGCATATACATCTGGAGATCGATCGCACTCTGTCTCTTCTCCTGCCTTTCGTTTCTCTCCGACTTCCAACATTCTTGATATCTGAAAAGGCGGAAAGAAAGAGACGCACAGAGAGATAGATAGATAGATAAATATACATATACATATATATATATATACTCACACACACACACACACACAGAGGTTGACTACTGCGTGGCAGAATGGCGTTATTCAGTAACGTTCGACCGTATTATGGCACGCAGTAATCTACCGAGGAAGTCGCACGGTGAGGCAGTGGTTGAACCCGTCAAAACTTGGGAACACGACCATACTTACAATTAAGCTCACACTTCGGGCATGTATACCTAAGCACCCCCTCGAATACAACACATCCCCACCAAACCCCAAAGCTCGGATGCATATATTCACGATTCCCCTCGCTTCGTGGCACGGGGCCTGCAACTTGGAGAGGAAATGAAAATGAAGAAGAAGAAAAAGAAGAAGAAGAAAAAGAAGAATAAGAAAAAGAAGAAGAAGAAGAAGAAGAAGAAGTTAAAAATAAGAAAAAGAAAGAAAGAATGAATGAATGAATGAATGAATGAATGAATGAATGAATGAATGAATGAAACAATGAATGAAAAAAAGAAAGAAAGAAAGAAAGAAAGAAAGAAAGTAAAGAAGAGGAAGAAGAAGAAGAAGAAATAGAAGAACAAGAAGAAGAAGAAAAATAAAAATAAAAATGGTCCAGTCGGGGAGTGGGGTGGCGCCGTGATTTCGGCG